TCGATACAGGTTCTTGTATTGTTTTAAGGGAGAATGGTACAGGGAGAGAACAGGTGATATATAAACGATACAAGAACCTGTGTCGAAACGTCATGCTCTAGAATAAAAGAAGTTGTCATCCATATATACTTGTTCTATCTGTCTTCCAACTTCTAAAATGCCACTCAAAGAAATTCATAGAAAGACACTCAAGATTGGGTCATCACATTGACATGGTGTATAAAGCTTGTAAGGCCAGTATTGGGTCATCACACTGACATGGTATATAAAGCTTGTAAGGCCAGTATTGGGTCATCACATTGACATGGTATATAAAGCCTGTAAGGCCAGTATTGGGTCATCACATTGACATGGTATATAAAGCCTGTAAGGCCAGTATTGGGTCATCACATTGACATGGTGTATAAACGTGCCAGTACATAGCAAGCTTGTAAGGCCAGTATTGGATCATCATCACATTGACATGGTGTATAAAGCTTGTAAGGCATATCGTGAGATTGCCTATAGATGACAAGGAGAGGTGGGTGGGGGGTGTGTGTAATTATGTTGACTAATGCTAGGACTGCAGTCATCTAGCAATCACAGGGTCTAGACAGGGACTCAGTGAGTCTCCAGGTCAGCTTCAGGTTCTCCACATAGGCAGTTTTATAATATGTTTCTACAGCCGACCCCCTTGTTCAAACCCCATCATGGCTGTCCTTTGTTTAGATGTTGTGGAGCCTGTCTAAGGAGTGTCTCTGTCGGAGACTTAATTTGCTTGCCTGCCCACGAGGGCGATATCAGATGAACTGGACGGTGGGTCATAGTGGCGGAGGGAATATGACTGGGGATTCTGTATCCTTTGCTGGAGAATGTTCAGGAGATTCTGTCAGAATGTGGTTCATTTGGTATTAGATGATGTGAGCTGACAATCATGGCTGAAGATTTATCAGGGGTTAACAGTGGGAAACAGGTAGCTAATTAACGGTACTTTAGGTGTGACTTTGACTGGTCACTGATGACAATACATCATGTATTTGACAACACAGGGCCCACAGTCCTGTGTCATAATGGGTCCACAGTAATGGTATAGCTTAAGGCTGTAATGATTCACTCGCATATTTGGTGAATCGAACTGTAGCCCTTCATGAATTCAGTTCGTTATTCATGGTCACCAGAACTGAATATTAACGAATATTTCGCGATTTTTTTTAAGGGAACATGTTTTACTTGAACCCTTGTGTACTTTTGGAAAGTGAAATATGCAACAATTGAATATGTACTAGCCTTGCAGTAGCGCAAGTCATGTTAGTTTGCCAAGGCCGCACATGGTACTGTCATCTATAACTATTACATACCAAATTTGAGTGTCACGAGATCACTGGTTATTGCTGTGACAAATCAAAACTGTCAACATGGGCATTCCATATTGTGCATCAATCACTTAACTACAATATTGTATTCGTGAATAATTATTCGTATTCATTACCCAACATTCATGATACGTATCTTATTCGCCACATAATGTATTCGTTGCAGCCCTAGTATAGCTTCACAGTCCTGTTTCACAACTGGTTCACACTGACGACACATGGCCTCACAGTCCTGTTTCACAATTGGTTCACACTGTGTCACACTGGCGACACTGTGTCCTGTTATAGCTGGTTCACACTGGCGACACATGGCCTCACAGTCCTGTGTCATAACTGGTTCACACTGACCGACACATGGCCTCACAGTCCTGTGTACGACTGGATTCGACACTGAACATGGCCTCACACACAACTGGTTCACACGACACATGGCCTCACAGTCCTGTTTCATAACTGGTTCACACTGACGACACATGGCCTCACAGTCCTGTGTCACAACTGGTTCACACTGACGACACATGGTTCACAGTCCTGTTTCACAACTGGTTTCACATGGCCTGTTACAACTGGTTGAACACTGACGACACATGGCCTCACAGTCCTGTTTCACAACTGGTTCACACTGACGACACATGGCCTCACAGTCCTGTTACAACTGGTTCACACTGACGACACATGGCCTCACAGTCCTGTTCACAACTGGTTCACACTGACGACACATGGCCTCACAGTCCTGTTACAACTGGTTCACACTGGTTCACACACAGCGACACAACTGGTTCGCACTGGCGACGACACATGGCTGCACAGTCCTGTTACAACTGGTTCACACTGACGACACATGGCCTCACAGTCCTGTTACAACTGGTTCACACTGACGACACATGGCCTCACAGTCCTGTTATAACTGGTTCACACTGACGACACATGGCCTCACAGTCCTGTTATAACTGGTTCACACTGACGACACATGGTCGCACAGTCCTGCATGGCCGCACAGTCACAACTGGTTTACACTGACGACACATGGCCTCACAGTCCTGTTAAAACTGGTTCACACTGACGACACATGTCTGTGTCGTAACTAGATGATGCCTGTGTTTGTAGCCCGCCATATAGACCTGCTGGAGACAGTGTTCTGTGTACAGTGTGAATCCACAATATGTGCATTGCCGGTCCTCGTTATTATACACGTCATTAACTGCACAATGGCTTTCACCTTTACAATATGGCGCTACAGCGGCATATATTTTATTTCTTATCAATGTACGGATACGGTCGGCCTAGACACAAATCCTAGCCCTCTAACAAACCTACCGATTATCTGGAAATAATTCATTGTTTGCTTGAAAAAGTTACGTGTTTAATAACACAGTCATGTTTGAACTGTAGTCACGGTTGTTAGCATGAAAGAAATTATTGAAGGTATACACTCGGCACAGATATGATTTGTGTGATGCTCTGGTCGATGCTCCAGACGGAATGTTACTATCAACGCGAAACAACAACAAACATGTGGGCAAACGGGCATGGAGGAGTTGAAGAATCATTCAGATATGCCCCTGTTCAAATAAACAATTAAACGTTGACCATGCTAGAAATGAAGGAAATCACCCACTCTCTAATGAGCGAGTCAACAATATGAAAGTGAGGTGTGAAAAACAGTGTGGTAATGTTTAAACCTGAGATTTGGGACTACCAAAGAACTCTTCCCAGAAAAAGCCTTGTAAGTTTGTCGTGAGTTTAATTGTGAGTTTTAACATTGGATCGGCAAAAGGTTGAAAATAGCACACATACTGGGGCCCATGCTCTCAGCCTGCTGGGGAATACACAGATCTGTGGCTCCCCGGGCCGATCCACTCCAACCTCCGCGAGGGCGGACAGGTCGCAGGCCTCAACAAGCACACCACCCAAACCACCAATACTCTCTTCAAATTTATACCAAACCTATTATTCGAGATCCAGCAAATCATATATTTATGATATACAAGGAAAATATTTTAAGGAGATATAGACTTTGGTGGTTTGGCTGGCAGCTGTTATGTTGGCCCTCCTGCACATTCCTCAAATAGACCCGGCTTGAGGTATACATTCATCATGAGTTGCTCCTTGCGATGGGCAGGGAGTGATAAGCGTTGTGGCTTTTAGGAGTAGAGCTAGCATTGAGGTTCCCTGTCTCAAATTCACTGATAGCGCTAGACCCTATTGCAGACTGGTGCCTCTCTGTCGCCTAGCTATCACTCTTCTCTTCCCTTATGTCGCCCTCTTATAGCGTGGGTGCTGGGACACGTTCCTCTCCCTCATTATAACACAAGCGGGCTTATTTTCATTAACATGATCTGAACTTTTGTAGTGTGGAAGAATGAGGATTTATTTATACGTGTGTTATTTTAATTGTGTGAAAAATATATTTTTGATAGAGCTGTTACTCGTTGAAGATGCTGCTTGTTTAACTTGAGTGTTCTAACTCTGTGTACCAGAAAATGATTCATACATTGTCTGTTTGTTGGAGAATTTCGGAGCCTGTGTTTTCTGTTCTTCACAAGAATGTGTGATTACTAGGTGTTACGATCTCATCCAGGAAATGTTGTAACTTTCAAGTTTGAAAGCACCTCAGGTTGAACTGGCCTTGATCGATCTATGATAGCTAGATGGGCTGAACAGTTACCATACAACTCACACAATATTACCACAACTCATATTGTTAGCAAACTCATGCAGGAACAAAAGTGTTTATGTAGTTGTTTTACATATTTTTGATTTGGTGAAAAAACTACAAAATTTGATGTGCAGGAAGTTTGTTGAAGTTGACAAGAGTGTGCACAAAACAAGTGAGGGTAGAGATGTTAAATCTGGGGAAGGGAAGATAGAGCGTAGACTCTGTATTCCATACAGTGACGTCACGTCAGTGGATGTGTTGTTGCTGTTGTATGGCCGACTGTCAGTAGTCGGAAATACACTGGCGTGGTAGTCTAACAATCTTCTCATACTTGTTATTACATATTGTTTGTTGTTGTTTCACTATTCACTTTCTAGTTGTTTCACAATTCACTCTCAAGTTGATTCACATTTCACTGTCCGTTTTTTTCACTATTCACTGTCCTGTTGTTTGACAATTCACTCTCTAGTTGATTCACTATTCACGTTCCTGTTATTTCACTGTTAATTTTCCTGTTATTTCACTGTTAATTTTCTTGTTGTTTCACATTATTGACTTACCTAAATTCACACTATTCGCTATCCAGTTGTTTCGGTGTTCACTTTCCTGCCGTAGTCTGGTTTGAGACTAAGAATACCTCTACTGTAATGTTTCATATATTGCTAAAAACAGCATAGAAATTTACCCTCTCCCAGATTGGTTTTCTACCTCACTCACACATTCACTCATTCACCCACCCACTCACTCACTCATTTACTCACTCCACTCACTCACTCACCCACCCACTCACTCACTCACTCACTCACTCACTCACTCCACTCACTCACTCACTCACTCAGCTGTATCCTTATTCCCTTTGTGACTGTATGACTGTTATTTCATCACTCACTTCTCTTCTTCTTCTCCATTTCCACATTCACATGCAGTAGTTCCTAGTCATTATGGCAAATGCTGTTTGATGTAACTAACTGTGAGGCTTTGTGTTTCAGACAGCGTCAATGCCATGAGCGGTCCACACTGGTGCAACATCGCCTACTGGGAGCAGCGGCAGCGCGTCGGCCGACTCTTCACAGTATTCGAACCCAGCATTAGCATCTTTCAAGTTCTGCCACACGGAGACGGCATGTGCCTGGAGATACTACAACAAGACTCCAACTTAGAATCTGTGCGACGGACTCGAGAGAAGATAGGGTTTGGTATTATCCTCAGTCAGGAGGGGGACGGTGTGTGGGTGTATAACCGCTCCCTCTTCCCGATCTTTGTCAACTCCCCAACGCTGGAACTTCCCAATTCACGGATGTTAGTGGTGCGGAAAGTCATGCCAGGATATTCAATCAAAATCTTCGACTATGATGAGGCAGAGACGTTGGAACGAACTCGAGACCCTCTGCAGTACGATGGGCCTTACGACCCAAGCTCAATTCGGATAAGTTTTGCCAAGGGATGGGGCCCGTGCTACTCCCGCCAGTTTGTGACTTCATGCCCATGTTGGGTGGAAATACTTTTAAACATTAACAGGTGATAGTGGCTGGGATTGGGACCGCAAGGTCTTGGAATTGCGTCACAACTCTGGGCATTCAAACCAAAAGTGTCCCCCCTCCCCTTCCACCCAGGGGTTCAGAAGCTACTGCTCGAGGGGAGGCTTGTGATGATTGTGCATGGGATGGTGCTTGTATGGGCCTCGGCTTTCAGTCCTCCCCACCTGGAGGACCTGATACCTCATCTGGTCCTATCGGACCCTCCATGGCTGAGGTCCTCCAAGCTGCGTCCCATAGCATGATACCAAAATGGCGGCCCCACTTGGGGTCTTCGGAAAGAAACGGGTCTAACGTACTGCTTACTGGATTATTGTTAGCATTTCAGTGTGGCTCTGTTCTTAGACAGGGTCAGAAGTGGAAAACTGGGATTTGCCCACGATTTAAGTATTCGGAAAAAACCTGCATAAAATGATGGTGCAGAGGTGGGCGTGGATCGGGCCGATGACGCCAGCCTCATTTCCAAACAAAGTGCCTTCTTTGTCAATGTCAAGGTCACGTACATCTCGCTATGCAGAAAACAAGTCAACTGGCCGTGTTATAAATCGTGAATATTTCCCATCATGCAATAACAGATGCCCAGGCGGAAGCAGGAAAAGAAAATACTAGTTACCTCCCTTGAATACTGAACTACCTACATACATACCTATATGAAATATGTATATATGCAGAAATCAAATTAACTGGGCCTGAAGTGGTCCATAACCTGTGAAATGGTACGTGAATGGAGGGCAAAACAAATGAGCCCAGTTATAAATATTTTATATAAGCATACCATGTGCCTGTGCATACGTGTCTGTACATATGGTCCAAACATTTTTATCATGTAATTTATGACATCAGAAGTGCAATGCATTTGGCACTTTTTGTCCTGTTGAAATACAAAATAGATATGGAATTGTGGGAATGTTGTGCCAAGACCACTGGTGTGCAATTCTTTGTCAACACGAGTTGTGTAATTCAATTATGCCCTCTTCAGCTCTACTACACTTCGTAATGAAGTTTTATGTTTGAGGGTTGCCATGGTAACAGAATGTTTTTGTTGCCATGGGAACGCTACCTGAGACAATGTGCAAGTATTTTTAACTCTCACAAGCAGCCGATTCAAGACTTGGTAAGATTTTAACATCAGGCTTTGTTTTGTTTTGACATTTGTTTTACATCTGTTGTGTTAAGAGTTTTAGATGATACCCATTTGACAGGTCCATTTTCAACCATTTGACAGGTCCATTTTCAAAAGTTGTTACAAGAAAACTGACTTCAAGTCATTGTTGTCATGAAGATGCTTGAAGATTAGAATTTCCCAATGGAGTTTTATTGCTAAATTCTGCAATGTTCCTGACAAATATGTTCCCTGTAGTCTTGACTCGGCTGTTTGTTGATGTTTTAGCAGCATTTTAATATGAATCTACCTCATTAGCCGACGTCGTCATGTTCTGTTACTGCTATGTTATATGTTTGTTACCTCACACACACGGCAAGCCCTGGGGTGGGGCAGTCTGCCTGTCACCCCAGGGCACCAGCATGGGGGGCGCTCTACAAGTTGTGGCTGAAAGTGTCCAAATTTGAAATGATTTGATACAACTGTTTAAATGAATTTGAAATTTTGAAAATTGTTTCTTTATTTTGTACATTGTACAAAGCAACTGTTACGAGTTTGATGTTGTTGGTGCATGGTGTGTGCCTTGTGTAGATGACTGTCTCCCTCTCACAGACGTGTTACACAACACTGGGTCGGCTACCTCCAGGCTCTGGTGGCCAAGGCAATACTGGAACATTTACTATATAGAAGACTAGATTCGATGTAAACTCCTTAACCTGAAGTAATGCTGAAACTAAATGATTAATTAAAAGAGTTTTTCATAATATTACCTGCATATAACAGAAAGGAAATGGTTAAATATTGTTAAGGAAATCCTGGTGTAGAGGAGGACAGAGGTTGGTTGGGCTGGTCACTGTTTTGAGTACCTGGCTGTGTTAACCTCATTGTCAGGATGCATCTCACGATATGGGACAATTAACCCTGTTCAGGGTGTCACTGACACAGAGGCGAGGAGTGCGGGGCTTAGTGGGGGTGACATGACGACAGTGGGACTTGGATATGGGTGACATCACGACAGTGTGACTTGGATACGGGTGACGTGACGACAGTGGGATTTGGATACGGGTGACGAGACAACAGTGTGACTTGGATACGGGTGACATGACGACAGTGGGACTTGGATAAGGGTGACATGAAGACAGTGGGACTTGGATACGGGTGACGTGACAACAGTGGGACTGGGGTGAGGATAAGACAACAGGAAAATCTAGGGGTGACAGGTTCATTTGTAGTTGGGGCAGTGGGGTAGCATAGTGGTTAAAGCGTTCGCTCATCTCGCGGAAGGCCCACGTTCAATTCCCCACATGGATACGATTTGTGAAGCACATTTCTGGTGTCCCCGCCATGGTATTGCTGGAATATTGCTAAAAGTGATGTAAAACCCAAATCACTCACTCACTCAGGTCAGGGACAAGAAGGGGTGTGGAGCAGGTGCTGAGAAGTAGGTTGATCAGTGCAGGTCAAGAATGTATATTAATATATAATATGATGTAGCTATGTCGGTTGTAGGGTATAATGCGCAACAGTAGATCAATCCGAATTTCAGATGAATGTGATGATGAATTTAATCAGTGTATACTGGTGTAAGATGAATGTTTGATGAAGCTGTGTCTAAGGAGGCCACTCATAATGAGATCAGTCTAAAGCAGTTTGAAGTCTAACACAGCAGATTATCAGGCAGGTTGTATCTTCTCTCCAAAATGACAGATTTTCAGAATAATTAAGCAGTGATGGTAACATAGCGAGATGTCGGCCGTGCTTGAGCCAGCCACTTGAGCAAATCTATATCTTCTGTCGGCGTATTGGGACATGCTCAGATGAAACTCGCGACTCACAGTGTCACTGGATAGCAGGGATTGTGAAACGTAAATGCAAATAGGACAATATGAGAAGGTGACTGAGCAGGATTTGATGTCTCCTGCAGTTTACGAGGCTCTTGATCTACCGGGATTAACTCTAGGACCTGCTCCAGGCTGACGTAGGTTCTTGCTGAAGTACACGCAAACATGTTGTTGGTCAATGTAGGTGGATACTGTATACAGCTTGTGTTTTCATTATCTCTCCATAAATATGTACATTTTGAAATCAGATATTTCATAATGAGTTAAACGTGAGAGTTGGTTGGTCATGATTGGAACAAAAGTTTGTATTATTTTATGAGCTGTACGAGCTGTCATATAGTTTTGGCATACTTCCCCCTTGAAAATGTTAGATACTTGTGAGTTCGTTCAACTTTTGATATTTCAAGGGAAATTGTTACGGTGATTTCCAATAAGGGTTGCTTTAGAATAAACAAAAGAGGATTTCAAGAGGTTTTATGATGTCCATTAGAATTGTTACGTGATGGTGGTGTGCAGTACTGATGTCCTCAGAGAAGTGAATACGGTGTGGGTTGGGGTGTTGTATTTTGTAGTGAGTGAGTGAGTTTAGTTTTACGCCACACTCAGCATTATTCCAGCTATATGGCGGCGGTCTGTAAATAATCGAGTCTGAACCAGACAATACGAGAAACTGATTTACCTGGGAATATGACAGTATGGTTTACCTGAGAATATGACAGACTGATTTACCTGGGAATATGACAGAATGGTTTACCTGAGAATATGACAGACTGATTTACCTGGGAATATGACATAGTTGCACCTAAGAAACTGATTTGCCTAGGAATGTGACACTGATTTACCCGAGGATATGACATAGTTGTACCTGATTTACTGACACAGATTTACCTGAGAATGACAGACTGATTTACCCGAGAATATCCGTCACAAAACATCCTGAGAATATGACTAAAGGATTTACGTGTATGCGTAAGGTGATTATACATGATGTGAGATACACACCCCTCCCACCCAGTGCTCCCCCGATGGACTACCTGATCGAGACTTCCAACAATGACTGTGGGTTTCTTGAGTCTCCCTGTTCTGAAAGGCCCTTGTTCCCCTTGTGGTAAATAGCCTGCAGTTATTGTGGGGCCTCCTCGGCCCCCAGTTGACTGTCTTACATGGCTTTTACATTTCAATAAGGGAAAACCATTTGCTGGAGAACGGGTCTGGGGTGAAATGTTTGGCTAGTGATGTGAGAGAAATGATGGACTCCGCACACAATAGAATATCATAGAGCTCGCTTCATGATCCCTGTAGCTAGAAGAGGCAGGCTGAGGGTTTGGAGGGGGAAGGGATTAGCCAGTAGGGGGGAGGCAACAATGGCGGCAGTCATTTACGTCAAATACTTCGTTTTTAAACCATAAAAAGGAACATCATGTTTGAATTTACATGACAAACATTTGGTATGTTATATTCCACGATTACACAAGAACAATTTTATTTCAGTTTTATTTTATATATTTTGATTTATTGGAAGTTTGAGCGTGAACAAAAATTGAACAGCTGACTGACAGTCATTAGGTCAGTAAATAGGGGATAATCATTAAATAAATGTTTGAAGTATTATTTAGGAGAGCAGTCTAAGTCAATCTAAGTCAGGTTGGAGTTAGATGCTAGTTGTTCCAGTATTTGCTGGAAGTTACTTGTTTGTGTTCTATTTATTTGTTTGGCTGTGGGTGTTGTAGAGCATGGTCTGTGTGAGAGGGCTGCAGTCGCTACTGAAGGTACAGACAATGCCGCTACACTTGAACAATCTCCGGAATGTTGTTTGTTGCACTCTTGAATGGTGTGGGGAGAGGCCAGACATGCTGGCTCCTGGGTCAGGGGAGATAACTGTGCCGTAATCTCACTCCTAGCCAAACATTGGCAGGACGGTTGATTGGGGCTGTACTTGAATGCAACAGTTTGTATTGTTTCTGAGCTTTTCATCTTGAAAATGTCAATATTTATTGCGTTTTAGACCAGACAGTGAAGATCTGACTTTTTGAAGTTTATTTGAAGATGTGATAAAAAGATGCTAGCATTATATGCTTCTGTAAAAGAACGCAGGATGCTCTGTCAATGTATGTTTCATTGACTTATGTTCTGTTTTCACCAGAACCATCCAGATGAAACTTTATTTTTGGAGATGGAAATCTGTAAACAACAGACCATCATCACTGCTAGTTTGTTGGACAATCTTCTTCCAACATGGCAGAACATAATGCATACAAGCCCATAAAGTAATGACGGTGATAACAGACATTCATGAGGCTTAACAGCAAGATAACAGAGCTGATATGCGTGATAACAGATGTTGATATGTATTGTATGTTACTGTGAAGGTCAGTGTGTTGTTACTGAGATGATTCAAGTATGGCGGCAATGGCGCCGTGTGGTGTGATGTCTTGGCACAGGATTCCCGGTACTGGTTGCAGAGAAGCATGGTCAGAAACTCCCTCATTGTACACTGCTGTATCTTGTACCTTGTACCAATACAAGTCATGTACCTTATTGTATTGATACAAACGTGCTCTTTGTGTCGGTACAAGTCTTGTAATAATTCCAAGTAATGTACCTTATTGTATTGATACAAACATGTACACTTTGTGTCAGTACAAGTCTTGTACCGATACAAGTAATGTATGTGATTGTATTGATACAAACATGTATACTTTGTGTCAGTACAAGTCTTGTACCGATACAAGTCATGTACCTGATTGTAATGATACAAACATGTACACTGCTGTATCTTGTACCTTGAACTGATACAAGTCATGTACCTTATTGTATTGATACAAGTATGGTACGTTAGTATTGACTATTGTTCTGTCAGATGTTGATCATCAAATTCGGAATCATCTCTAACCTTCATCACCTTCATCACCCAACTTAAAGGAACATATAGCAGTCATCATCATCACTTATTACTCTGCTTGGAGAAAGATTGATTATTTCAAAGAAATTGACTGTTTCAAAATATTATTTTCATGATGTAATGTAAAGTTTGATGATCACTGCTACAGGACTTTACTCCATTGTTTAGCAAAAACAATTGTTTAGCCAAAACAATTCTTTGTGTGATCATAATTACCCATTCTTAAGAATTTATGCAGCCTTTAGGACCTCAAAACCACATACTTGTAGAACATCTTGTGCTAATATATTTTTTTTTAAATACAGTGAACATATTCAGGAAAATATTGAAAGAATTTTAAATGTATGACGGCAAGTTTTATTGATAGAATTATTATTTTTTGGAGTTACTTATTTTGGCCAACACTAAAGAATTCTTGTTAAATTCAGATATCTCTAAATGGAAAAATATGTTTGTGTTCAAACGAGATCATTCTGTTCTCTTCATTAAATTCCTTTTATCACAAATATGTCTTGAATGAAGTTCAACCAGAGATTCATGTAGATGAGCAGAATCCTTGGTATCAGGCTAACCAAGAAAACCTGGTCTATTTGTGTATATTTGTGTGTAGGGGGCCCAGTGGTCCAGGGTGCTGCAATTGTCTATGCAGAGTTGCCTCCCTTAGACATGCCGGATGCTTATGATCGTGGTTTTCAATTCCAGATTTGTTGTTCGGTTTGTCAACACAATGCTGATGGATTTCACCAAAGTGGTGAACGTAAAATACCTGCCTCACTTTGGTCGTATCTCCACTTTCAGCTGACACGCCATATGATATGACTGGAATATTGTTCAACGCAGCCTTGAACCCAGCTCACTCACTCACTCTATTTATGTGTTGATTTGCCATGCTCAGACTTGTTTTAAGAGCCTGAGCAAACTTGAGTCCACACTGAGATAAATACTCTACCTCCTCAAAGCTTTAATTCTCTTTTCTACCAATAGCAGTTAATGAAAACAAGAGTTGGAACCATGGAATTGGGTTGCTATTCAGTTGTTAAGACATTGGTAAGATAAGGCGGTATTTTGTTATTATTGTGTTGATATTTATTTGTTTGCTGGCATTACACGGCAATGTGAAATAAGATTGCTGATGACTGAAGAAGCAAATGGCAACTTGTTATTAGTGCTATATTTATTGTATTGTCAGCAGTGAGGGAGTTTTCAGCCAATCGGATTGTAGCATCTGTACAGTCAACCTATCAACTGTCAGTACTCAACCTACTGAACGTTATGGGGCAGTGATTCCCCAAAATTTATGAAATAAAACAAAAATGTGAATGTAAATTCATACCCACCTGTTATAGGCTGGCTGTGCTGGTGTGAATTCATACCCAACTGTTATAAGCTGGCTGCCCTGGTGTAAATTTATAACCTACTGTTGCAAGCTGGCTGTGGTGGGGTAAATTCATACCCAACTGTTTTAAGCTGGCTGTGCTGGTGTGAATGCAGACTCAACTGTTAAAAGCTGGCTGTGCAGGTGTGAATGCAGACTCAACAGGCATAAGCAAGCTGTGCTGGCATACAAGCCAAGCTGGCTGTGCTGGAGTAAATTAATACCCAACTGTTGTAATCAATCTTTCCTGGTGTAAATTCATACCCAGCCGTATTATGCTCCCCAGATAACTGAACCTTCCTGGTTAGCAGAATGTGAAAAAACCTAAATTGAAGCTCTGATCAAATTGTGATATCTATGGCAGTATGTTTCAAGTTTTGAATTGAGTCAAAAGTGTTTGCTGTGAAGTCAAGTATGTAAGTCCATCCCGTTGTGTTTCATCCAATCAGATTGCAGCACATTCATACCCAACTGTTATGAACTGGCTGTCCTGGGGTAAAATTCAAACCCAACTATTTTAAGCTGGCTGTCCTGGTGTAAATTCATGCCCAACTGTTATAAGCTGGCTGTGCTGGTGTAAATTCATAAACAGCTGTTACAAGCTGGCTGTACTGGTGTAAATTCATACACAACTGTTAAAAGCTGGTTGTACTGGTGTAAATTCATACCAACTGGCTGTGCTGGGTAAATTCAACTGTTATAAGCTGGCTGTGCTGGTGTAAATTCATACCAACTGTTAAAAGCTGGCTGTCCTGGGTAAATTCATACCAACTGTTAAAAGCTGGTTGTGCTGGTGTAAATTCATACACAACTGTTAAATGCTGGCTGTCCTGGTGTAAATTCATGCCCAACTGTTAAAAGCTGGCTGTGCTGGTGTAAATTCATACACAACTGTTAAAAGCTGGCTGTGCTGGTGTAAATTCATACCAACTGTTATAAGCTGGCTGTGCTGGTGTAAATTCATACACCAACTGTTAAAAGCTGGCTGTCCTGGTGTAAATTCATACCCAACTGTTAAAAGCTGGCTGTGCTGGTGTAAATTCATACCCAACTGTTAAAAGCTGGCTGTGCTGGTGTAAATTCATAACAACTGTTAAAAGCTGGCTGTGCTGGTGTAAATTCATACCAACTGTTATAAAGCTGGCTGTGCTGGTGTAAATTCATACACAACTGTTAAAAGCTGGCTGT